CAGAGACATGTGTCTTATCCACTACTCCATCTCCACCCAAATGTATATTGGCTATTACATCTATCATGGAGGATGTATGACTGTTATGTTGTAACTTATCTATGTGGTGCAGCACTTTTATTTTAGTAATGCACAATTCATAACTAATAATGACAATGTAATAATTTATAATTGCTACATGGTAAGCATGGGTCATATATGGTGTTTGTTGCGAGAGGCACTTGCTGCCCCCGCTGCTGGATGCACTTAACATATTGGCTATATGTCATCTGGGAAAATAATTAAAAGAAAAAGAAAAGACGATTTAAAGGAAGTGCAAGAGAGAGGGACATGTTAATGTTTGCTTCTTTTTAACTTTGCGCATCTGCACATACAGACGTACAAACATGTGAAGCATCTAGAGATGTTGCAGACTAGAGACAGGAGAATGTTGTTCAGTGGTCTCAAAAATAACCCTAATAAACACTGTTTTCACAGACAGTAAACAAGCTCTCCTGCATGGGGTGAGGTTGGGATGGGATTTTTACACATGCATGTCTCTAGAAGTGTGAAATCATGAATGAGCAGGCAGCATTAACAGACGGGGGAGGATGAGAGGATTGCTGCTACATCTTCTTATCCATTTTGTTTTTTCCCTCCATCCCTCCCCACCTTGCTCTCAGACAGATCCTGAACGTGTACAAAGCCCTGGCATCTGCGACTTGTTTTGTTATAGCTCCAAGTGCTGCATTAGTTTCCTATCTGTGCCATGAACTCTATACCATCTCTTTCACCCTGAGTAAAATAATTTATCTCATCTCGAAGCATGTATTTCAAATGATGCTGGTTTTGATACAGTATCAAAGGAAGCATAGTATGTTGGGTTGCTCAACTACCGAGCCTCACACTGATACCCCAAGGGTGCTTTGTACTCCATTTCAGCCTGCGGGTGGATGCTGAAGTCAAAACAGAAACAGCTGGATTTAATGGTAAAATAGACAGAAATAGTGGAGACAGATGACAGATGTAATAGAAAAGTGGTAGACAATGGTGGATGGGAGAGGAAAAAAAAGATGTTATTTTTGTTTGTGTCTCTGCGCATGAAGAAGTAGCTACTTTTCGATCTGCATATGTGTGTGTGCACGCTGGTGAAAAGTGACAAAATTGTTGCTACCCTAAGAGAGATAGACAGATGTTCATGTTCACGCTGACAGAATAAGAACAACCTCATGTTTATAATCGCCTCTCTCCTCCTCCTCTCTCTCTCTCTCTCTCTCTCTCTCTCTCGCTGTATCTGTCACTTTCTTATCTTTTTATTTTCAGACACGGCATATGTTCGCGTTTTTATCAGCGACGTGAACGATAACAAGCCAGCGTTTGCACAGGCGTCCTATGAAGTTGATGTGGATGAGGATGCTGACGTAGGCTTCGCCATACTCACTGTCAGTGCCAACGATGGGGACGAAGGTGGGTAGCATGGATAAAGGAAAGTTCCAGTGCGAATGTGTGTTTCTTGGAATGGTTCGATGTAGATACGAAATGAAAAGTGTAGGAGTGATGGTGTGGCCGGTACTGTATATCCATAATTGAGCGCATTTACTCAAGCACATTGCTGAAGTGTTTCTCTTTTCGCTCGCTCAAGAAAGACATTCTCTTTTCCCTTCACTGCTTTTGTCTGACCCCTTTTACTTTTAAGGGGGTACCAGCTTGAACCAGCCACTGCAGAAGAAACCATTTAATATAACCTTTCAATGTAAGGCAAAGAAGGATGCTCTCAAGCGTTGTAATGTGTACTTTCACACTTTGGGCTTTAGAACTATTTTTTTTCACTTTAGTCAAAAATTTCTTACTGTTAAGATGTTGTTCTGCTGTACATGTTGAGGAGAAGGCCACTGCAGCTAGTAGAAACCCTGGAATCTTCTGAGGTATTTTTCCATTTAGAATTGTTAAACATCCGATATTAGTTCAATTAGGAGGTAGAAGTGAATGAAGATAAAGATAGTGATTATTATAATAGCAGATGATATTGTGCTTAGTCTTGACAGAAAGGCTTTGGTGTTTGACTCCACAGGGACATTTTTTGTAGTCAAGGGGGGTGGCAGAGAGATAAATCCTCCCATGGAGTCCAGACACTGGTGGTGGTGGTGGCTGGTGACTCTGTGGAAGTTGATAGGCTGATGAAAGGATAAAGCTGATGAATCTGTGAAGACTATAATAGGTATGTCGCTGTGCTATTGGATAGATGTGACCTGCTATTGGAACAGCTGATATCACAACTGACAGCCCCGGATAATGACAGCAGGAAATTGAATGGCAGGATGGTATAAGAAATGAACTACAGACCTAAGCATGCAAAATAATAGTCCTGACTTAACTTTCACTAGAGCTCCATATACATAGGCATAACTTGGTTGACCTTTCAATACACTTGCCTTTTTAATAAAGCACTAATTAAGAGGTCTCATTAGGGTCTGAGAACTTGCCAGAAGATCCTGAAATACAAAGAGGCAGGTCTGTGATGGAACATGCAGAGGCACTCAGCTGTCATGGCCAGAGGCAAATGTCAGCTTGCGACAGAAAAGACAAGACCATTATTACTCTGGGGAATAAAAAGAGTCTCTCACAGAGTATGTTTGAGCACTGTGGCTTATACTATCAAAAGGCATCTAGAAACTGGGTAGGCCTTTGACTGGAAAAAAAGGTATGGTAGTTACAGATCAACAACAAAATCAACCGAGAATTCCTCATTGGAAGTGACCACGGCTTGCGTAACAGAGGGGTGATTGAAGTAGACATCAAGATAGTTTAGTTTACAGCTGAAGAAAATTGTTTCCACTTCAACAGAGCAGAGACGACTTAGAGAAGTAGGGCTGATGGCTCTTTATTTAGAATTCAAAAGAGAGTACACTTGTACAAAACTTAAGTTAAGAAATATAAGAACTGGAATACTGCAGACTGGAAAACTGTATTGTAACTTCAATCAACATATTTTCTCTTTTTAGACATTTACTGCTGTATTTATTGATGTCTGGGCACTAGGTGGGTAACAACCGGAACAAGCTAAGAGTTACACAGCCACCACCATGTAGTGTTGACTATAAATGCAGTTGTTGTCTGTTGCCATTTGGTGCTGGACGGGTTGTGTAGAGTTTAATCAGAGGCTCTGAGCTGGAAATGGCTGAATATGGGGTTTCCTGAATGGTGAGACTGAAAATGCAGTAGCCCTAAAGGAACCCTAAGGAGAACACTAAGAAAAGTTTCTATTTATATTTAGTATTTAGAAAAGCCATTATACCATGAACAATACCTCCTCTCACATGAAGCCATGTTTTTTATAATTCAGTTAATTCAGTTTGAAGCTGATTAGATAAAGTTTTAGTTTTCTTGTCTGATTTTTGGATGGATGTTCAGAAATTCCAATTATCTGTCTAAGAACATAGAAAGAAGACACATATTAATACCTAGTATTAGTAAACTAGTAGTATTTTCAATTTTAACTCACTGTATTATTACTATATTATATGGAGTACGGCTTCAGTTGGTGCAATAATTGTCTCTGTCATTTGTCATTGTTACACAACTTATTTGAAATGGTGGGGCTGTCATTCACACCTTACAAACAGGAAGTCTATAGAGCATAGTAAATCATCCAGAATGTGACTATGTAGGTACAATTTGTGACTATTTTTAGAGATGACTAAAATTAGACTTGCAAATATGCTCCTGTTATATGTGTGACTTTATTTTCTTGGGAGGGAGCAAAATAGCAGCCTTGTGTTTGTTTGTGCGTATGAAGAAGAGAGAGCCTAACATCAGAGAAGCTCTCAATAGCTTACAGCATCTATAAGTGGACTACCTGCTTACTACCCAATTGAAATTCACCCAGGAAATGCCTGGGAATGCTGCTCACATATTTACTGCTACTGCTAGTGGTTTTGCTTTGCAGAAAGTCTAAATTAATTTTGCCTGGAAGCAAGTTGTTGACAATCCTGTTTGAAAACCAGAGCCAATCAATATTCGGACTCATAAAGGCCTCATTACCTCTCATTTTCCATTCAGAATTTGTCAAAATGACCCCCAGAGAAATAATCTTTAAATTTCAGCTCACGTAACTAAGTAGTGATACTCGGTGCTGATATCAGCTCATGAAAGTTTTTACAAATGCTTCTCTAAACAGACCTTGGTGTCACTACTACACACATACACAGCTAGTGATGAAGTTCTTTGTAAAGTGGAGCAATTTGTCTTGGAAATACAGAAAAAGGAAAATGCACAAAGTAACAGAGAAAGAAGGTGAGAAAAGCACAAGCAGAATGTAAAGATGTACAAAGTTTGGATATTTTCAGATGCCAAACCTGAAGCCTCAGCCCACAGCCTGTTTTTATTGGCTCGACTGAAACCAAAGACTAGCGAGACCTAATTTAGAATCAAAATATATAATCATTATTAAATTGTCTTCGTAGATTACCATTGCTCTTTAGAAATGAGCTATCATGCTGCATATCAAAGGTACTTAAAGGAAATTCTCACCTCCTGTAATCTTGAAAGGTGGCTTCACTCAGAGGTTTCAATGAATTCAAATGGCAAGTTTTGTCCAAAAAACATGGCTGCTCCTGCCACGTTCCACTCAACATCTCAGTAAGTTCCAATCAGTCCTCACTATGGTAAGAACTTTAGCCTGAGCTTTGGAGCTGAGGGGGTGAAATTTTCTGCAGTGTTTCAGAGCTACTTTTCCACCCAAGTGAAAAAGAAATATACTTAAGTAGCACTTTTTTTGGATGCACTTTAATTGTACTATACTAAGTATATAATGAATGTGTTATTTCGGAACAACTTAAAGTATGTTAAGTGTCATTTTAGAAATACTTAAAGTCAACTTTAAGATAATTGCAATATATTTTAATATACTTAGTTGTGTTAAAATGGACCTATTTTAAGTACCTTTACTATAATTTAAATATACTTCTTTAAATTTAACTTAAAATGCCCTTTTGTGCTATACTTGAAGAACAGTTTAAATATATTATAAAAGTGTTCCCTGAACATTTTTATTAGCAATTCAGCTTATTAGTAATATATTACTGGTATACTCCACATATCCCACTTCTGACACCATATGTGTCACCCTACCCAGATTCAAACACAGGTCTACAGGGTACCAAACATGCAACTTTGACAGCAACGTATGGCAGTCCAAGCGCTTACTCACCTGCAGTGAAGGTACTCCGTCACAAGCATACAGTACAAATGGTGGAACCAAACTGAAACTGAAAAATGTCCATCCTTATTCTTGGAGTGGAGGGTCGGTTATCTTTGAGTAGGACTCGTTGCATTTTCTGTGACTGCAGACACTATGGGATTTGGAAAGTGCTTTATCACACAGCATCTGTGGAAGGGAAAAGCAAAGATTTTGTCTATTTCAAAGCAATATTACCTCTAATTAATTAACAACCACTGTCAGATTTTTTATTTTGTTTAAATTTGCTGAAACACAATGTGACATCATGTCTAGCTGTTCTAATAATGCTAACTGTTTAGGTTCAGGTGAAATGATTTTCCACAAGGGACCCCTCCCAGTTAATGCTCAGTTCTTCCATTACAACATGATCAAAAACATTACATAAACACTAGTGTACATTCAGCCAAGGAGCTGTATATGATAAAATGTTATTGAACAGGTACAACAAATAACACAAACATACACATTTGCTTAACAACTGTGCTGTCTACATCATTTCACATTAACACAGCAGTCAATTTGTGAAGTACAAAAAGTAGCCAATTACTTAAAATATTTTAAATTAAATTATTTTTTCACAAGAATATTTGTTTCTTTAGTCTGACCCCGTTGAGAGAAAAAACAGTGATCGTGTGCAGGAGCCAGATATACCTATGAGCACATTGAGCTTGTGAGGGTCCAGCTGGTCCTTTGAGGTTTCCGTGGCCTCTAAGCCCTCTGAGTGAGGCAACGATCCCAGGAAGCTCTAAAAGAAAAGAAATGCAGTTGCAAATGAGATATAATAAATATACAAATACAATTCAGTTAGGCCAGTACTTCCACCTAGTTTAGTTCTTCATTTGCATATCATTATAAACACTGTAAATCTATTCTTATTGCAAATCTTTATTATTATTCTTTATTTCCTTTTCTTGAACTAAGGCAGGAAATTCCAAATCTGGGTTTAGCATTAAGTTGGTTAAAGTTGGCAAAGGGTAGGTTCAACTTTTAAAAGTTGAATACATCCTGTATTCAACTTTTAAAAGTGACCATACAAAAGGACATAAAGTTGAGCAGTATTTTACATAACATCACATGCTATTATATCGTGTGGTGAGGCATTGCAGTACATAAAAACATTATTTCAAGCATGTCTTAAAACAATTCTCCACAATATGCATGTATACTTCAACATTGCTGTTATAACAGAGTTATTGGTCACTGTAATGATTACCCCCTCCATGGCTGCAGTGAAGAGAAATCAGTGTACCTTTAGAAGATATCCACTTTTGAATAGTATAACGCAGATGCTTAGCTGATGATTCATAGCTTCAGCTAAATTTTAGAGTGAATTTATACAAAAATGACTGTGGTGATGTCTTTAACGTTACAGATTACAGTGACCAATAACTTACTGTAAACTGTTTATGTGAGTAAGGTAGACTATAAAAATGTGAACCTTTAGCACACAGACAGCAACATATTAGTTGCATTTATTACTATGATAATGACCTCACTGATTTTAACAGTGTAAAAAGCAGAATTGAGGGCTCACAAACACACATGTACAGGCCTGCCTTCTTAAAATCTCATGCATCAAATTTCAGCAACAGGTTACTGAGGTTCTATATTACAGAAATTTTAGGAACATTAAAAACTGCCTTACAGCAAAAAGCAACACATTACTGTAACGTTAATTGCGTCACTTTTGTAACGCGTTACTCCCAACACTGTTTAGAGCAGACGAAAGTTGCTGTCTTGATTATGAAGCTATTAAAATGCTAACTAACGTTAGCTAACAAATATACTAATCCACGTGCTAGCATTAGCTAATGCACACCAGACCTATCCACCAAGTAAAATATTTTCAAACCCAGAGTGAGCTCAACTTTAGTTAATTTACACAATTGTGTTGTCTTGCTAACAAAAATAAACTTACCCTGAAAGAGGACAGCCGGCAGTATATGCGTCTGTCCTCTCCTGCTTGTACTTGCCAGGCACGCCTCTTTAGCTGTTTTCACATTTAACTTCTGTAGGGAGCTGACCGGATATTCTTCTCTTCTGTGTTCTTTTCTTATTATGTCTGTGGTGTCCACCTTCCAAGTCCGAGTCGGTAAAGTAAAACAAAGGAAACCTGAGGAACAAAATGATTTCTGGCCAAAACTAGCTTCCCTCTCAACGACAGTACACACGTTAAACTTACGTTACGTTAACAACATGTGCTGCTTCCTTCTTGGCCCCGTTAACTTTATGAAAGAGGTCTCTGATCTCAACGAGCTATTTACCTGATTAAACTAAAATAAAAGAAAGAAAAGAAAAAAAAAAAGAAATAATAAGCTTTTGAAAAACATATTTTAATGTTAAAAAAATATGTTTTAAAAATCATACTTCAGGAAATCAGGCTGAAACACGTGGCAATTACATAAATAATTACAATATTTTGCAGTAATCTACACAATGAAACATGTTTGGCATAAATATATTTTTAACCCACTAAAAGTGTAATTGTTTAACCATGTACTTCCACAAAGTACACCTAAATAATATTTACTAAGAGTTAAATAAATATATTTTTAATAAATTGACTAAAATGTTGTAAAAAAATATACTTTTATTTAAGCATATTTATTAAAAGTTTAATTAAGTATATATTTATTACAAAGTTTAATTAAGTATACTTTATTACAAAGTATACTTTTGAGAAGTATGTTAAAGCTCAGGAGAATATATCTTTAATATACTTGTAGTAAGCCCGTTAGGAGTATGAATGTACTATAAGTATACTATGTGAATTTCTAGTATATTTTCAGTGCCTTTAAGAGCACTTCTTTTTGACCTGGGTGGGCAATCCAGCAGATTGTAAATTAGTAAAAGTTAGCATTACATTGTTTATGTTGGCTATATCAAAGCTGTTTCTTGTGCTCATCTATTTTGCATAGTTAAACGTCATTACACAACAAAACATTTAATCCATAGCAGCAGCAAAGCAACAGTGTCATTCCCTTCTCAGGCAGGTACATCTGCTCTCCACCTACCTCTACCTGTGCATGACCGCTACCTCGCTGAACACGCACATTAGTGGTGTCCACAGTGTTGGACAGTGTTGCTGCTGCAGCGCTGCTACTGCCATCGATATCTTTTTACATTGAGTTTACCTTTGATAATGGCCGTCAATAATATAATGTTTCATTTCATTTCATTGTAAATGTCATTTATATTTAGTTTGGACAGAAAAAGCTTAAGTAGCATAAAAACTAAAATACTAATAAAATAATAAAAATAAATGTCTGTGATATATTCTACAGACATAGACATTGAAACTGTAGTGAAAGATATTGTGTTCCTAGTGTGTCAATATGACACTGATATGATATTTTGCTGAAAATCATGTGCATCACGTGAGACAAATAGGTGACACGCCAAATCACTAGATGATGCCCTGTGTATGTGTGTGTGTGTGTGTGTGTGTGTGTCTCTTCCCGTTCCTGCTCTCTTAACTGTATACTCCAGTTTCAGTAAAGTACAGTATCCAGGGAGATTGGAAAGAGTTTTGAAATTGGTACAACTGGGAAACAAAATTCATTTTCTCTCACTTTGTTTATTTTAACTGTTCCTTCTGCTGTTTCTTTTGTCCTTTGGGTCTCAGCAGTTTTCTAAATACTTAAGAGAGTGAGACAACTAGAAAAAAATCTGAGAAAGACAGCAAGTGAGAAGAAGGGATGCAATTGCATATATCCCCTAATGTCTCATTTAAAATGCCAACAGACAGACGGTACAAAACGCTCTGGATTAGTACATTCTCCTCTCTCCTTCCGTGACTTTCATCTTGCTAATAAGCTGTGAATCGCATCTCGTCTTCAGAGGCTTCTCCATTCCCTTTTATATTAACATGAGGGTTGGTAGATGCAACAGTGATTGAGATGCAGACCTTGGATTTACCAGTAATTGCATTGGGGGGGAACATTTTGTTGATCAGCATCTAATAGACTTTATTAAAAATGCTTTGCAGAGCTTAAAAAGAAAAAGAGATTATTAAGTGAGGTAGGGAGGGAACATTGGAGATGAGGGGAGGGGGAACTTCACAGCAATATGATTTTAAATTGCTTGGAACAATGGAGTATTAATTATGCAATGAAAAATGAAGCGTTCTTTACTGACTTTTGGGAGACAAAGTACACTTCCAGGCCTGAAAGCCATAGGTTATGATTCAATTTGAGTTTACTTGTGTATACAGTAATACTATGTTAATATTAACAGCCTTATTTAAGTTGATCCTTGCCCATATATTGTGCAGGAAATGCAGACCGTTCTAATCCCAGGGCGTCAAATATCGATGCTTTGACAAACCGTCGGAATTTGGCACATGAGGTACCTTTCAGTGCATGAGACGCCCTGGACTTTCAACTAACTCCACTGTGACCTATCCGGGTCAGGTGACGTAGTATACAGGACCGAAAGTCAAAGTTGACTTATTTAAACTTTCCAGTTACATAACGTTACATACGTGTCCTATGTCTGTCACATTCTTTTGCTAATAAGTTCACTTTACTTGTAAGGTAATACATAGAATTAATAACAATAATGATAATAATAATTACATTGGTAAACCTTCCCTGTGTCAGAAAGCAAATGCTCCACTGAAAGTGCGCTGTATATAATTGTGTTTGTATTAGGAGGAGTCTGTTAATGCATTTAATCATTATTTCTTTTCTCTCCTGAAGACCTAGTAAAGATGTGGACTTGCTCAAGTGTTTTGGCTTTGAATCCACAATGCACTCTAAAAACATTTTAAATGCTATTATCGGCTCTTGATGGCTAAAACCTTGTTGTGCTGGTACTTCATTTTTAGAACCTGCACACAGACTTAGCAGCAGAAGATATGACATTTGGATCAAGTATCTCTGATTAATTTAAGCCCCCATTACACTGCTTTCCATTCTTTGTTATCCAATTGATCCATAATGTCTTGTAATACTTAACATTAATATGGAAGTAAACATATTCATCTTAGTTTAAGTGTGTAATTTAATCAGAAATGTTCTAAAATGTTACCACTGTATTAAATAAATCTTATTATGCAATATGCATACAAAGCTACAAAGTGGATATTTTTCTTCCACACCTAAGGTATAGACATCCATTACAGTACAAATTGTTGCACAGGCTTTAGGTTTTCTTTGCATGGCTTTAAAATATTTGACTTTTACTTTCTTAGATTTCTTGTCATGAAGATGCTATTCCAATGCAGCAGGTATAATAATCAACTTTGTACGGGCAGAGGTTGCCTCTTGTTTAAAGATTCATAACAATCAGATCACACCAAAGACTCGATATGAGCTAAAGCGGGGTGATGCTGTCTATCTTAGTTAAGGGAGACAGATTGGTGGAATGGCAGAAACGGACAGCAGTGGACTAGATAGAGACTTCCAATCCATGGGGGATCAGGTTATTACCAAATCTCTTTCATGGTATAAAACACATGAGATATGCTCCTGGCCTATTTTTTCATCACAGCTCCAGCAAGACTTACTTTCAATACTCTGCTTTGTCAGTAACTGCGGTTTATTTATACAAACTGTCAATGTTCATTCAACCTCCATCTTCTCCTATTCTGCAGGTGGAAACGCTAAGCTGCGCTACCAGATCACATCAGGGAACATGGGAGGAGTATTTGATGTGGAACCAGAGGTGGGGACTATCTTTATCGCCCAGCCTTTGGACTATGAACAGAACAAAAGGTAGGAAAACACTCCAGGGAAGAATCTTTTGAACCATAAATGCTTTTTGAC